CCATCAAAATTCCTTAGTGCTTCATTCACAACAAGGGAGATGAAATAGAATACGACCAGGCGGTAGCACGGTGGTGTCGTTTTTAGAAAAGTTCTTAAAAGACAAACCTCCATCCCTATGGTTTTTTTCTTTAAAAAGGTTAATACCATTTTTATGCTTTGGAAAGCTATAAGGATGGGGGCATGAATATTAATTCTAAAAGGGAGATGAAATTCAACAAGTAGCCTTTGCAGCCATAATGGCAGAAATTGTTGCTGTTGTTGCTTGCCGTCAAGTCACTCCTGACTTTTGGCCACCTCATGAATGGCCAATCTCCAAAAATGACCTCAACAGTCTTGCTTTTCTAGACTTAAGCCCTTCTAGACTCAAGCCCATGGCTTCCTTGAGGGAGTCGGTTCATCTTGTGTTATTGGGCCTTCCTCTTCTCCTGCTGCCTTCGACTTTTCCCAGCATGACGGTCTTTTCCAGAGAATCCTGCCTTCTCAGGAGGTGACCAAAGTAGGATAGACTTGGTTTCAGCGTTTTTGCCTTCAGAGATAGTTTAGGTTCGATTTGCTCTTGGACCCACTTATATGTGTCTTTCTGGTATCTGCAAAGCTGTCCTTCAGCACCGCTTGGACCCACTTATATGTGTCTTTCTGGTCTCTGCAAAGCTGTCCTTCAGCACCACATTTCAAACGAACCAATGGGTTTTTCCTGTCCACTTACTTTACTGTCCGGTTTTCACACCTCTGCGTGGTGATCGGAAATATAGGTGTGTAGTTCTTGGACTTGGTCTCCGGGGACACCTCCTTACACTGGATGTACACTTTCTAGTTCGGCTGAACGGTTTTGAGAGTTCCTTCAGCTGGGAAGGAATTCCGCTTTCTGAAGGCCTTGATCCGCCCTGTCCTGGGCAGGGCTGTGGGTACCTCTGATCGTGGAGAAAGTGTGTTTTCTCGTGGCATAGCATCTCTGCGCACATTGAGCTCCTGAGGTTCAGCCAAGGAGCACGCAGATTCCAGGTGCGTTTTTGACTGCAGGCAGTTTCTTCCTTGCCTCTGACCGGGTGTATCAAGAAAGATGGTATTGATGGGCATGTTCTTGTTTGGCTGCAGACCAGTCGGGTAGCCCTACCTCAGTCTCTCTTCGGTAAGATGTGGTCGTAATACAGTGGT